AATATCTGTGATACCCCCCAGTTTTACACGTACACTCTCAATATCTGTGATCCCCCCCCCCCGCCCCCCCAGTTTCCCACGTACACTCTCAATATCTGTGATCCCCCCCCCCCAGTTTACACGTACACTCTCAATATCTGTGATCCCCCCCCCCCAGTTTACACGTACACTCACCAAATGACTGTAAACACAAAATTACGTAATAAACTTATTACCTAATGAATCATGAATTAGTTATATGTTTACCTGAGATACTCCTATATAGGAGCATCAATAGAAACTATGCATCAAGCCGAGACAAAACCATTCTCACTGCTAAATTTACAAAAACTGTAATGTAGTTACTTAATATCTTAATATCAATATCCTACATAACCTGTATTTATGTAGACTTTGAATTATTATTAGTCTGCCCGAAATGCTTAGTCATGCTAGTCAAGCTGGCAAGCACCAGACGAGCCTGGCCCATGGCCGGGCTCAGAGAGTAGATAAACTCTCAAAACTCTTCAAAGGTATATCAGAGGCATGATAGTGGCCCTCTCTGTAATTACTATTTTATAATATGTAAACCGCACATTGTAACCTGTATATTATTATTATTATTATTATTATTATTATTATTATAATTAAAAAGAAGCGCTAAGCCACAAGGGCTATACAGCTGTAACCTGTATAGAGAATAAACTTTTGATTCAATTTGAACTCGCACATAAGGGAGAGGATTATTATTATTATTATTATTATTATTATTATTATTATTATTATTATTATAATCAAGGGGGAAGCGCTAAACATAAGGGAGAGGAGCTGACCACGACGTTTCGATCCATTTCCAAAGTCACGTCGTAATCTCCTCTATGTGCTGGTAATTTGTGTACTGTTCCAGTCACGGTATTATATCTCTTTGTTCTTTATCAAATGTGAAAAAGTTTGTTATGGCTTCATATACGTCTGCATAAACAGCTTATTACAAGTGTTACCAGATCATAAAGTTGTCAATACGTCATGATCACTGTAGCCAACGTGGCTGTTAATACACTGGTGCACAATTTCTGGAGCCATTATGTACCTCTGTAATCTTTAAACTACCGCCCACACCATGGGTATGGGATGCATAATAAAAATATTAAATTTATTATCCAAAGACTGGAAGCTAATCAAAGGATCTTGGTTTCTTAATCCAGGACGGGGCGAAACATCGTCTAAAATTTCCTGTCGAAAGTTTGGCTTACAAATGAACATCTGAAGAATTACTGACTGATGAGCGAGACGTATGTGCATCGCTTAGGCTTCCTTGGCGAAACGTTTTGGGTGAGCTGCAGGCTTCGTCAGTTGAATACAACGATTACAATAGTGGAGACGTATAAGAAATGGAGAGGTTGTATTGAGGTAATCAGTTACTGAATGAGGGAAGTAGTGAGGTCTGAGTAGTGTGAAACGACCCCTGCAATCACATATAGGTGAGTACGACTCATGGCAGCAGTAAACTGAGAAGCAGTATATCAGACACAAGTCATGGCAGCAGTGTGCTCTCAGCACACACACACACACACACACAACACACCACACACACACACAACACACACACACACACACACGAGTCTTCCCACGGTAAGAGTTAAGTACAGAGGATAATCAGAAATGGGACAAAGGTTTGGAAGCTGGAGCCATGGGATCTCTCAGAGGAGAATGCTATGTTGCTGGAGGACTTAAAACTTCTTTCCTCCCTTAGATGCAATATGATTGCCTCCCATTCCTCTGGTTCTGCATGACCGCCTACGATTCAGCGCCTCCAAACGAAAATAATTATAATATTAATGGAGTAGTGTGATGAATGGTGGATGCAGCAAGCAGGGAGGGGAAGACCAGTGGTCAACAGGGAGGGGAGTGGCCAGTGGTCAGTTGGGAGGGGAAATAAGAGGTGGGGAAAGGCGTGTGCTGTGTCAACAACTGCTGCATAGTCACCAGAGGACGAATAAAAGAAAATGTCAATAGCATTTCACAGCATGGCGAGCGCTTAACCATGGGAAGGAGAGTGATGGCAGAATGAACAGTGGGTGCCGAGTCGAGAGTCGAGGGAAATGGATACTGGCGAGGAGTGGATGAAAGGGAACAGAAGCAGGGGAAGGGGGAGAGGGTGTAGGGAAACAGGAGGTGGAAATGGGGTAGATGGCAGGAGAGTGAGGGAAGAAAGAAAGTTAATGGAACAATGAAGTGGTTGGGAGTTAAAGGAGTCTGTGGGAAGGGAAGGAAGGAAAGAGGGAGGAAGGTAGGAAGGAAGGAAGGAGAGGAGGGAGGGAGGGAGGGAGGGAGGGAAGGTAAGGAAGGAGGATAATGTGAGATGTGAAGAAAGGCACTTAATAACTCACGTACAAGACACTGATGGACCACTTCATGCTTCACACAATACGTTCATGAATAAGACAGGTGCAACACTTGGGTATCTTTTCTGACGCAACGTTTCACCTACACTGCAGCCTTCATCAGGCGAAAACAGGTGTGATTATAATGCTGAAAATAAGTGGAGAGGTAATTATAAGGTGATGGAAGGTGATCAGTCCCTCAGCCTTGATGGAAGGTGATCAGTCTGACCTCAGCCTTGATGGAAGGTGATCACAGTCCCTCAGCCTTGATGGAAGGTGATCAGTCCCTCAGCCTTGATGGAAGGTGTTCAGTCCCTCAGCCTTGATGGAAGGTGTTCAGCTCCTTAACACTGATGGAAATTGCTCAGTCTAGAGACTAAGAGATGGAATCCTTTCTATCAAAGCAGAGGCACTGAACACCTTCTATCACGATTGAGGGACTGATCACCTCATCATTACCTCTCCATCTCTTTGATCTTCAGCATTATAATCACCTCTATATTCGACTGTAGAAGTCTGCTGCGCAGAAGAAACATTTCGCTGATAAAGACACCCAAGTGTTACACATATATTTACACCCAAGTGTTACACATATGTTTACACCCAAGTGTTACACATATGTTTACACCCAAGTGTTACACATATGTTTACACCCAAGTGTTACACATATGTTTACACCCAAGTGTTACACATATGTTTACACCCAAGTGTTACACATATGTATACGTCTCAACTGGTCGGTATTGTGAACAATTTAATACAGGACTTACTAAACACTTGTCTGTTACTTTAATGCTTCTAAAGTACCGTTGATTCAGGGAATTGGAGCTGCACCTCTCCTTCTTTGGAGCAAACCTCATTAGCTCCCATTCCCTAGTAGGAGCTGTATGAAACCCCCTCGGGTGTAGCGCTTCGACATAACTAGATTAATTAGCAGACTAATTACTCTTGCGTGTCCACTAATGCTGATCCATTCAACTATTACGCTGCTCGTTCTTAATGTTATCAGGAACACAATGAACAATTTTCCCCATAAGTGAACAGCAGTGAACAATCTGTGAGGTGCAGTGAACACACTCAGTGGTTAGTGTGCTAGGTTTAAATTTTTAATAGTATTATAATCATAAAGCGTTAAACCGTAAAGTGTGTTGGGTTTAAAGCCTGTCGACTGCACAAGGGTATTTAAAGTGTCAACTCACCTGTAGTCTAACAAAGAATATTGTAATTACTATAATAAGCTTTCAAGTGATCTCTCATATCTATCTATATATAATATAATATATATTAAGTCAATATACCTCTCAGTATACACACGATACCACTCTAGGGTATACACATCTCTCAGGTATACACATAGATAACACTCTCAGGCATACACACTGAATACACCTTCAGGTATACACATCTCTCAGGGTACACATTGAGATACACACCTCTCAGGGCATACACACCGAGATACACACCTCTCAGGGTATACACATCTCTCAGGGTATACACATTGAGATACACACCTCTCAGGGCATACACACTGAGATACACACCTCTCACTGTATACACATCACACCTCCCAGTGTTTATACGCTGAAAGATACACATCTCTCAGTGTATATATACTGAGAGTTTACTCCAGTCCTTATTTTAGATATTAAAGTATTCTTGACTGGTGGTGAACAGGTGACCTGCAGCCTTAATGACACTCATATAATAGATAGAATTTAAACCTAACAAATAAACCAACCTCAGGGTATGGACACCCTGTGTTTACAATCAGTTTACATGTAACTGGTTTATCTCTAAAGTGCTGATAACAAATCACTAAAACACTAAGAAAACAAACACACTTCTAGATCACATAATTTAAGTAAATTTTCTCTGAATACGTTAACATTATTACGATATATATATATATATATATATATATATATATATATATATATATATATAATATATATATATATATATATATATATATATATATATATATATATGTCGTGCCGAATAGGCAGAACTTGCGATCTTGGCTTAAATAGCAACGCTCATCTTGCCATATAGGACAAATGAAAATTTGTGTATGCAATAATTTCGCCAAAATTATTCTGAACCTAACGAAAAAAATATATTTCACTGTGTTTGTTTAGTATTATATTATTGTAAACAAATCTAAAATATATTTAGTTGGGTTAGACTAAAATAAATTGTTCTTGCTATAATAGGGTTAGGTAAGTTTTCTAAGTTCCTTTTGGTGCAAAATTATAAATTTTTACATCAACATTAATGAAAAAAATGTATCTTCAAACGTATAAGAGAAAATTTTAGAGAGGACTTAATTTTAAATGAGTTCTTGCTAATTGACCAGTTTTACATATTCGGCACGACATTATATATATATATATATATATATATATATATATATATATATATATATATATATATATATATATATATATATATATATATACACATCAGATGTGCTCAGATACAACAGTTTAGATTTTACTCTTAACAGCCAATATTTCAAACCCCTCCTTTAACGTGCAGGCATTGTACTTTTCACCTCTAGGACTCAAGTCCGGCAATATATAATAATAATGTCTTGAACTCTGACTTTGCTGTGAGAATGAGTCTTCGACCTCGTACCTGTGGGGAACATAGCTGGTGACAGCTTGGGAATGCTTTCCTAGGAACCTGGAGTGTAGGGAGGTTGGCCTGCGGCAGCCCTCCTCCAGGAAGGCACCAACCTCACCCCAGACTCCCTCAGGCAGGTGCATCTTAAGCTGCATGTCACACAAGCACAGAGAACTCGATCATGTACTGCCAAACACCTGGCCACAATGCTGACGCTAATGGAACAGGCTGACATGAGGCAGTGTTACACAATTGGCTGGTGCCTCGATGTCAGTTCTGGTGCAGAGGTCGCTGAAGGCAGCTGCTGTACTCACAAAGCCTCACTGCTCAGACGAAACGCTCACAGATGCCCAGGCAGTTGCTATATAACACTGAGCCCCTGAAGTGTGTGGAGACAGGTGGGAGTGATTGGAATTAGCAACATGCGGGTGGCGTGTTTCCACACATCACTTCTGACACGAAGCCCATTCTTTCATCTACCCACTTCTGATGCGCATATTTTCATACAAGCTGGATCAAAAAGAAGTATTGCGAAACGTCGTCGCAATTAAAGCGTGTTCTCCGTGGCAAAGACTGGCTGAGAAGACCACAAATAAGCTCTTTTTGTGTGTGTGTTTTTAGAGTGAAACAGTTTTCTTCTGTACACAGAGTCACTTTGCCAAAAAATTATTCTGTAACTTGCGCGTGTTCTTCTCTCAAGTGTTGTAAACTAGAGCACTAGAAGGTCAGGGTAGCTCACTATGAGAGTAGAGTGAACCTTGCGTGGCTGTCTCAACGCGTCACTAGGTAGCGCTATACTAAGAGAAAAAAAGTGGGACGAAAGTATCTACCCTTCCCCTACCCCTCTCCCCCTCCCAAAACCCGTCCCCTTCCCCGCCCGCCACCTCTGCCCTTATTCCAATGAAGATTATCGTCCTCGATAACAGGTCTGGGTACGTTGAGATAACAGAAGGGCATGCGGAGAGATAGCGGATAATGGTAGCGAGGTTTGCCTCTGAAGGACGTGCTGCCACTGGTTTACATAAGGCTTAAATAACGCTACTACACAGGTAGCAACCTCTCCTCGCGTCCAACGTCAAGAATGTTTTGTTTACAACGCTCTAAGCTTCACCAGGCACCGTCCCAGTGCCGAATGTTCCCCACATAACTAGTGACACATAACCTGAAAAATGACATAGTAATACTGACAAGATATGAAAAAAGGCGTTTATGTACAGTTCAGGACATTTATTAGAGGAAACGTTTAGCCACTCGTGGCGAAACGTTCCCTCTAGTAAATGTCCTAAGTGTATATAAGTGTCTTTTTCAACACACGTGACTTACGTGTGGTCTGATAGAGTGGATATAGCACTATGTACTTTGACTCCTGGTGATGTGGGGAGTCAAAGAACGAAAGTTCAAGCCTTTCTCTTAGCCTGAGATACAAATCTCTGTAGATGAGGCAGCCAGAGACGTCAAGAAATGAATTTCAGAACACAGGTATGTCCGCAGACTGTCAGAACACCGGTATGTCAGCAGACTGTTAGAACACAGGAATGTCAACAGAATAGAGCTCAACAACTGCAGTGTAGTACACTAATTCTCGCAGCTACTCAATATGTTGGAATAACGCACTACTCACTGCTGTAGAGGATAACACCCAGAGTATGAGAAGCCTTAATTCTCCACTCATCATTGTCTGCAGTTTAGGCGAGCCTAAAATTTCCTCTCCGAATAATGGATCAGTTGTGAATTGTTGAAGCCACAGTATTGTGACTTTGTAGGTTAGTTGTGAGTCGTTGCAGTCACAGTATTGTGAATTTATGGGTTAGTTGTGAGTTGTTGCAGCCAGTATTGTCTTTTTGTAGGTTAGTCGAGAGTCGTTGCAGCCACAGTATTGTGATTTTATGGGTTAGTTGTGATTTGTTGCGGCTACAGTATTGTAACTGTGTAGGTTAGTTGCGAACTATGACTTGCATTCTTCAAGTAAGCAGAAAAAACTCAAACCAATTACTGTGGACACTAAATTGCAGCACCGAGCAAAACACAGCAAAAATCTACAAGAAAATACTTAGAAGGAAAATAGCAGATCCCTGGAGCCTTCAGTGGGTAGGACCCATGGAGCCTTCAGTGGGTAGGACCCATGGAGCCTTCAGAGGGTAGGACCCCTGGAGCCTTCAGTGGGTAGGACCCCTGGAGCCTTCAGTGGGTAGGACCCCTGGAGCCTTCAGTGGGTAGGATCCCTGGAGCCTTCAGTGGGTAGGACCCCTGGAGCCTTCAGTGGATAGGACCCCTGGAGCCTTCAGTGGGTAGGACCCCTGGAGCCTTCAGTGGGTAGGACCCCTGGAGCCTTCAGTGGGTAGGAACCCTGGAGCCTTCAGTGGGTAGGAACCATGGAGCCTTCAGTGGGTAGGACCCTGGAGCCTTCAGTGGGTAGGACCCCTGGAGCCTTAAAGTGGGTAGGAACCCTGGAGCCTTCAGTGGGTAGGAACCCTGGAGCCTTCAGTGGGTAGGAAACCTGGAGCCTTCAGTGGGTAGGAACCCTGGAGCCTTCAGTGGGTAGGAAACCTGGAGCCTTCAGTGGGTAGGACCCCTGGAGCCTTCAGTGCGTAGGAACCCTGGAGCCTTCTGCGGGTAGGAACCCTGGAGCCTTCAGTGGGTAGGACCCCTGGAGCCTTCAGTGGGTAGGACCTCTGGAGCCTTCAGTGGGTAGGAACCCTGGAGCCTTCAGCGGGTAGGAACCCTGGAGCCTTCAGTGGGTAGGAGCCTTGGAGCCTTCAGTGGGTAGGAACCCTGGAGCCTTCAGTGGGTAGGACCCTTGGAGCCTTCAGTGGATAGGACCCCTGGAGCCTTCAGTGGGTAGGAACCCTGGAGCCTTCAGTAGGTAGGAACCCTGGAGCCTTCAGTGGGTAGGAACCCTGGAGCCTTCAGTGGGTAGGAGCCCTGGAGCCTTCAGTGGGTAGAAACCCTGGAGCCTTAAGTGGGTAGGAACCCTGGAGCCTTCAGTGGGTAGGAACCCTGGAGCCTTCAGTGGGTAGGAACCCTGGAGCCTTAAGTGGGTAGGACCCCTGGAGCCTTCAGTGGGTATGACCCCTGGAGCCTTCAGTGGGTAGGACCCCTGGAGCCTTCAGTGGGTAGGACCCCTGGAGCCTTCAGTGGGTAGGAGCCCTGGAGCCTTCAGTGGGTAGAAACCCTGGAGCCTTAAGTGGGTAGGAACCCTGGAGCCTTCAGTGGGTAGGAACCCTGGAGCCTTCAGTGGGTATGAACCCTGGAGCCTTCTGTGGGTAGGACCCCTGGAGCCTTCAGTGGGTATGACCCCTGGAGCCTTCAGTGGGTAGGAGCCCTGGAGCGTTCAGTGGGTAGAAACCCTGGAGCCTTCAGTGGGTAGGAGCCCTGGAGCCTTCAGTGGGTAGAAACCCTGGAGCCTTAAGTGGGTAGGAACCCTGGAGCCTTCAGTGGGTATGACCCCTGGAGCCTTCAGTGGGTAGGACCCCTGGAGCCTTCAGTGGGTAGGAGCCCTGGAGCCTTCAGTGGGTAGAAACCCTGGAGCCTTAAGTGGGTAGAAACCCTGGAGCCTTAAGTGGGTAGGAACCCTGGAGCCTTCAGTGGGTAGGAACCCTGGAGCCTTCAGTGGGTATGAACCCTGGAGCCTTCTGTGGGTAGGACCCCTGGAGCCTTCAGTGGGTATGACCCCTGGAGCCTTCAGTGGGTAGGAGCCCTGGAGCGTTCAGTGGGTAGAAACCCTGGAGCCTTAAGTGGGTAGGAACCCTGGAGCCTTCAGTGGGTAGGAACCCTGGAGCCTTCAGTCGGTAGGACCCCTGGAGCCTTCAGTGGGTAGGACCCCTGGAGACTTCAGTGAGGACCCCTGGAGCCTTCAGTGGGTAGGAACCCTGGAGCCTTCAGTGGGTAGGACCCCTGGAGCCTTCAGTGGGTAGGAACCCTGGAGCCTTCAGTGGTAGGAACCCTGGAGCCTTCAGTGGGTAGGAACCCTGGAGCTTTCAGTGGGTAGGAACCCTGGAGCCTTCAGTGGGTATGAACCCTGGAGCCTTCTGTGGGTAGGACCCCTGGAGCCTTCAGTGGGTATGACCCCTGGAGCCTTCAGTGGGTAGGAGCCCTGGAGCGTTCAGTGGGTAGAAACCCTGGAGCCTTAAGTGGGTAGGAACCCTGGAGCCTTCAGTGGGTAGGAACCCTGGAGCCTTCAGTGGGTGTGAACCCTGGAGCCTTCAGTGGGTAGGAACCCTGGAGCCTTCAGTCGGTAGGACCCCTGGAGCCTTCAGTGGGTAGGACCCCTGGAGCCTTCAGTGGGTAGGAACCCTGGAGCCTTCAGTGGTAGGAACCCTGCAGCCTTCAGTGGGTAGGAACCCTGGAGCTTTCAGTGGGTAGGAACCCTGGAGCCTTCAGTGGGTATGAACCCTGGATCCTTCAGTGAGTATGACCCCTGGAGCCTTCAGTGGGTAGGAACCCTCAAGCCTTCACTGGGTAGGACCCCTGGAGCCTTCAGTATGACCCATGGAGCCTTCAGTGAGTAGGACCCCCTAGAGCCTTCAGTAACTAGGACCCCTGGAGGCTCCAGGGGTCCTACTTACTGAAGGTGCTGATTTAAGACACTGGCGCCACCCTTCCCTTTTGATCAGATCTGATTATTTCCCAGGTGACCCATACGAGATAAGTGAATATAATATAATGGAGAACTTACAGAATAAAGAAGCACAACACAGCGACTGGAACAATACACAAATAACCCGCACATAGGAGAGAGAAACTTATGACGACGTTTCGATCCGACACGGACCATTAACTCGTTATAATGTTTATTCTGTTAGTGGGTTGGATTTGTGAAGGACTTGCCTAGTATGGGCCAACAGGCCTACTGCAGTGTTCCTCCTTTATGTTATGTTCTGTGTGTGGGTTGTTTGTATAATGACAGAGGCTACCTGCTGAGGGTACCTGCTGAGGGTACCTGCTGAGTGTACTTGCTGAGGCCATCTGCTGAGACTGCTGGGGATCTCTGCTGGGGACACTAAAGACTCTGGTTACCTGTACTTCTGTCTAGACAGCTGAGAGCAGCATATTATGCCTGTCTATCTGTCTTCCACTTCCTCCTAAGGGTACTACGAAGAGCTGGGTGTTTTCAAGAAGAAATTCGATAAGTTCCAACTTACTTTTCTTGGTTAATCGATTGTAGGGGGCACGTCAGACATCTTACCACGAGCACCAATAGGTTGCTTGACTAAACCATCAAGCAGGAGGCAAGATCAGGATGGGACAGCGCTTGGCTTGTGACTTAACCTCTACAGAGAGCGAAACGAGGTTCCAACTCTCTGCAACTCCTTCATGACCAGGAGTCTGGCCTAAGACCGGGTCGAGGGGGCGATGATCAAAGTAAATATCAGCAGGAAGCAGAAGCGGCGGCGACGGCGGCAGCAGCAGCAGCAGCAGCAGCAGCAGCGGTGGTGTCAGCAATGGTGGTGTTTAGCTCTGGTTTGCGTGTTGTCAAGCAGGTGTTGGCTGAGGTTCATGGGTGTTCAGTGGTGTTGGAAAGTTTAGACTTAGAGGGACGGGAAGAGAAGGGGTGTTGGAGAAAGAATTTAAAGGGACGGGAAGAGAAGGTGGTGTTGGAAAAAAGAGTTTAGAGGGACGGGAAGAGAAGGTGGTGTTGGAGAAAGAGTTTAGAGGGACGGGAAGAGAAGGTGGTGTTGGAGAAAGAGTTTAGAGGGACGGGAAGAGAAGGTGGTGTTGGAGAAAGAGTTTAGAGGGAGAGAAGGTGGTGTTGGAGAAAGAGTTTAGAGGGACGGGAAGAGAAGGTGGTGTTGGAGAAAGAGTGTAGAGGGACGGGAAGAGAAGGTGGTGTTAGAGA